AGGTATGAGGTGTATACGTTGGATTTCTTCTTTCTTCCCTTTTTTGTTCTTTGTACATAGGTCAACAGATGGGGGTGTCAAAGAAGCTACGATCTATTGATTTTGGGAGCTATTTATTCGGGGAGAATTTGTTGGGAAAATTTTATCTTAAATTGAAATCCTAGACAACATGGGTGAGTTGGAGGAAGAATCCAAGGTTTTCATTCCTGAAAGCCTGATCGTTGTTATGATCGACTTTGCTCTTTTATCACTTCTCCATTTCCATCCGCCATTTCACAACCATCTGGGAAGTGAGGAAATGAAGCGGGTGAGAGTCAGGCCAAGGGATAGTATTGGAAGCTAGGTGGTCATTGTTGAAAGATTTTTGGTCTGGTTAAACTTTTAGATTTGCAACTTCGTCCGACCAAATTGTAAGATAAGTAAATTCATCTGTTTGAAAAACATTATTCAATTTTCAATAATCAGATTGCTCTAAACTCAATTGTACAATCTATAAATCATGCGTTTTGCTCTGTGATGTAATTTACTGACCATATTTCTTCTCGATAAGCCTAGTCATTTGGACTACCAGCGGTAGGATTGGCTTTTGCTTGAAGTAATAATTGTTTTACTTGGATTATACCCAATGTATAACTTTTCCCCACATGTTATCCCAATCATTACTGCTTTGATGCAACATAATGTTTTATTTCATTTAAATCTTAATTATGACCAATTTTTTATGATGAGGACATAATGTGAATACTGCAATTTCATCTTTTTTTTTCTATTTCATTCGTCAGATCCTTTTTAATGACCATTTTATCTAATAATATTTTAAGAGACTGATATCTTTGACTTTTGATCCTCTGGGTGTTCCTTTTTTGTTGTGTATGTGTTTTCAATTAGTGGATTCTCAACGTTTCATGTAGATTCTGAAACTTTCTAAGTAATATTCAGGGCTATACCAATGTTGCAGGCCTTCAATATTCTTCGATATGAGATTGGACAGAAGTATGCTTCTCACTACGATTCGTTTGATCCATCTGAATATGGTCCGCAGAAGAGCCAAAGAGTAATGAGCTGCCACTTTATTTCCTTAATTATAATTAATTTCTCGATTTGATGCTTTCTTGTTTAAAGATCCTAGTTATTTTCCGTTTACTCATTCTTTTTTGAATTTGAATCCTCGAATTGTTACTTAACTGGTAGATATTATTGTGAGAGAGAAGCTAAAATGAGTGCAGCCTTATTTTATTCTTCCTTCCCGCTGCCAAGAAAGTTCGAGACAACTAGAACTCTGTTTCAAAAGCATTGAACCAGAATTGTTCCTAACCAATAGAGATATATTAATGCAGGAATTTGTAAATTGTTAGTACTTTTAACATCACTTTGAACACTCATGATATCTAAAATGTCCTCTTATTAATGACTTGATCGCCCAAAGTCAAAATCCTCCAATTAGGGGTGCGTTTGGGACGACTGCAGCTGTCGGTAAAGTAGGTTGCAAAGTTATTGTATAGAAAGTTACTTTCAGAAATTGCTGTACATAAAGCAGTATATTTTGTTTGGGAAGTATAACTGTTAAGTTGCTGTGCTGCAGCTGTATGAGAATAAATTACCTTTATACCCTTACATATTGAGATGAAAAAAATGATGTAAATGTCAATTTTTTTCAAAAAAATTAAGATGCTAATAGAACAACTGATCGATTCAATGTTAGATCACGAAGAACCATTACATCCACCGAGCAGCTCAACACATCAACATCTAGGTCGGTACGCAAATCTACCAATTTCATAAAAAAAGTAAACCTAGAGAGATACAAAAAGGGCATAAACCGAATAAATCAAAAAGAAAAAGAAAATCATTGAGTAGCAGTAAATATACTTGATCGGAGAGGGCAAGAGAAGGGTGGGTTACGAGAGGCTTCGCAGTGTGTATGAGCTCGCCGGAGCCAATGCTTCTGGTGGTAAAGACTCCTCTTCCGGCCGAATTGGTGAGAGATACTTTTATTGGAGAGCCCGATCTTGCGCCGACGGCCTCCGTCGACATTGAGGAGGTGCAGAAGAGAGCTTCTGTGCATGTTTGTTGAAGATTGTGAAAGGTTTGTTTGATCTCGAATAGAAGGGGTCAATCTGCGACGAAACCCGCCGAAGCATAACCGCTCTGCCACCGGGGAACATGGCTGCGCTGAATATTATCAATATTTTGCTCGAATCATGAAGAAACACTATTCATTTTTTTTTACTTTTTCATACACACTGTTGAATAAAAATAACGTGTAGAGAAGAGGCGGAAGATTGCAGAGACGGCGAGGACATGGGATAAGGTTGTGAAGCCGTCCCTAACCAAGACTGCAAAAATTAATATTCACATAGAGCCCGAAAAATCCAAAATTATGTTGGCTCTATCGCTGATGCGCATCTCCTCTCTGTCGCAGCTCTTCGTCTCCGTCAGTCCTTCCCATGCCGATGATGATTCGGTGAGTGCTCACGTTCCGGTGTTGTGCTTTTGCCCGACGATTTGATTCCGCTTCATCTACCAGCGAAGGACGCCAAGAAAGGGGGATACAACGACCAAGAAACCGAGGGAGAGCTTTGATCTCGCAGGCGGACATGGTGGCCGCGAACATTTGGAAGGTCGCGGCGGAGATTTAAGTCAATTTTCTGCGGAAAGCAGGCGGACCGCGGGACATGGGAAAGGTCGCGAGAAGCAGGTATGTGCCGCGAAACTTTTTCTGACGTCGTTCTGCCGCAATCCCCCAAACAGCAATTTAATAACTTTTTATAAAGTAAAGCAACTGTGCCGCCGTCCCAAACGCACCCTAGATCTATTACTACTAAAATTGCACTCCATGTATTCGGTTTTAGATCTACTCAAATGAAAACCTTTAGACTCTAAAGTTGACCTTCATAATTTAAGTTTACCTAAACTCTAGTCTTATCAATAAGAAGAATATCATTAGCAAAAAGCATACACCAAGGTACATCCGCTTGTAAATGTCTAGTAAAAACATCCATGACTAAAGCAAAAGAGATTTGTGATTAAAGTTGATCATTGATGCAATCCAACTTAAATAGAAAAATACTTTGACAAACTAGCTTGTGTTTGAACACAAGGAACAACTCCTGCATACATATCCTTAATGACTTGAATATAAGCATAATTAACCCCTTTCTTTTGTAGAACACTCCCATCACATCTTTTTGAACTTTATCTTATGCTTTCTCTAAATTAATAAATATCATATGTAGATACTCCTTATTCTCTCTATACTTCTCCATCAAACCTCTCAATAAATGTATAGCTTCCATAGTAGACCTACCTGACATGAATCCAACATGATTTTGAGAAATATTAGTATCACGTCATAACCTATATTCAATAAGGGTGTAAACGAGCCGACCCGACTTTAGTTTAACTCGTTAATGTGCTCGCGAGTCAAGCTTCTTGAGCCACGAGCTCAAACTCAAGCTCGAATATTAAAAGAGCTCGAGTTCGAGCTTGAAAAAGCTTGACTCGTCACTCAAAAGAGCAGCTCAAACTCGAGCTCGAGTCGAGCCCGAAGAATGAGCTCGAGCTTACTCATCCATTTTCTCTCAGGCTTGAGAGCTCGACTCGTGATGAAATGGAGTCCAGGGCTTGGTTTGTCATTACTAGAGAAGTACTGGGCTTGCCCGCTAAGGAGAAGAAGATTGTCTATTTTCAAAAACAAGAAAATCATTTTGTACTCCTACGCCGCCGTGGAGAAGAAGAAAAAATGATGAAGCAGAAAATGTTGTGTAGCCTTAGTAAAGTTGTTTTATAGAGCAACAACTTTTGATAAAAAAAAGAAAAATCAAAATAGCTATTTAATTGATTTTTTGAAAACTTTACCCTTGTTATAAGTTTTTTTGGGTGAACTGGTGTTAAAATTAAACTGTTGTATAGGTAATAATATATTAATGCTATAATAAATGTTATATATTTTTTAATACATTAAAAGTTTATGTTACTCTAAATGTAGTGGGATAAAGGCTTGATGTTGTTGTTGTTGTTGTTGTTGAAGTTAACTCTTAATTTAGGTCGAATGAAACTTAGGTAGTATATTAAATTTAAATTATTTTATGAATAATTATATTTGTTAGATTAATTTATTGTTAATTAAATTAAATTGAACTTAATTTATGAAAAAATATTTTAAATTAATTTTAAATTAGTATATGAACCATATATGAACATTAACAACAACAATATGCTACCTTTATCCCACTATGTGGGATCGGCTACATGAATTCTTTTTCTCCATTATATCCTGTTAAGAATCAAATTCTCATTTAAATTTAGTTATAAAAAGGTTATTTCTATTTTTTTTAACCAAGTCTTTTTAGGTCTACCTTTACCTCTCTTAACATAGGCTAAATCTAATACATCTACTCTCCTAATCGGGTCATTAGAAAGCCGACGTTTTACGTGACCAAATCATCTAAGGTGACTCTCTCTAATCTTATCTGCCATTTGAGCTACTCCAATCTTTTCACATATACACTCGTTTCGCATTTTATCTCTAAGAGTAAACCACTCATCCACATGAGCATCCTCATCTTTGCAACACTTAAATGTATGCTTCTCTTTTAATGGGCAACATTTTGTGCCATAAAGCATTATATGTCTCACCATAATCTCATAAAATTTTCCCTTAAGCTTGAGGGGTACTTTTCTATCACATAATAGGCCCAATGCATTCCTCTACTTCAACCATCCAACTTGAATTCTACTACTAATATCCCCATTTATTTCACCATCACTCTGGACAATAGAGCCGAAATATCTAAGACGTGTGTTCTTATTAATGACTTGAACGCCCAAAGTCACAATCCCAATGTAGTTATTATTAAAATAAATTAAATTTATTTAAATGATGTAATATTTCTAATAGTTATGGAAAATAAGTGATAATATACATATCTACATATATATATATATCATGAAATATAATTCATTTGCATTTGCATGAATTAAATCCAGAAAATATTACATTTCAACACCCTTGTTCTATTGCAATTTCTAGTCAAGTATGCTCAACTGCTCACGGTTTTACGAGTTGAGCAGCCTGAACGTCAGTTTTTATGGTTGATATTGATTCTTTTGCAAATCCAATTTTTTAATCAGATAGAACCTATTTGATTGGTTCAGCCATCCAGCTGTTTCAGTTTTCCTTCTCTCTTTTGTTTTGAAATATGATATTTCTTTGTTTTCTTAAGAGCAGAGCGTGTATGCATTTTCAGGTAGCTTCATTCTTGTTGTATCTATCGGATGTAGAGGAGGGTGGAGAAACCATGTTTCCTTTTGAGGTAAGCATATAGAAGCTGATATTATTTTTCCCATTCTAATTTCATGTATGTTTCATATAAGGAATCCATTATTTTTCACAGAATGGATCAAATATGGATACTAATTATGATTACCAGAAATGCATTGGTTTAAGAGTCAAACCACAGCAAGGAGATGGTCTTCTATTTTATTCATTGTTAACAAATGGTACAATTGACCCGGTAAGCACATATCTCATTTTTTTTTTTGCTTTTAATGGACCTTAATGAAGTATTAACATTGGCAAAATCCTCATGCCTCTGGCTTTAGTATGCTTTGAAGTGAATGCATATTTACATAGCGATCACTTTGTAGGAGAATGTATTTCTTGTGCTCACTTCAATTGTTTTCAGACCTTTTCAAAGTTTAAGAGAAACCAAAGGAATGTTATAGCCTGTATGGTTGAGTGAGCTTGAATTTGTTTTTTATTACTTGTATCTTTTATTAGCTTTTACACTTGATCTCTATCTGAATTAGACACAATAGGACATTGGCTCCATTGACTTGCCACCAATCTTAGCAAAAAGAACTCACCATTTCTAGGACATTGGCTCCATTGACATGCCACCAATCTTTAACAAAAAGAACTCTCCATTTCTAGTGAAGCTTTTATGCTTTCCTTGTGTTAATGTGGAAGTGTTTCAGAATGTTGACACAGTTGAATTACACGAAAATGTTTGAGGTTCGGCATTGTGCTATTCCAGTAGTTTTATCATCATAAATAACTAGATATTCGATTTAAGTTACTTGTTCCGCAGAAAAAAATTGATACATTTAGCAAAGCAGGAAGTCGAGCATGTAGGCTTTTTGGTTTGAAGGAATTGAAAGAGTAAATGAAAATGGTAACAAGAAAAAAAATTGTTTGGTTTTAAGGAATTAAAAGAGAGGAAATGAAAATGATAATAAGAAAAAAATTGAATGTGAACATTAGTCACAATGATGACTTATTATTTTTTTCCAGTTTTCAATGGGTTGGGTACGGAATTGTTAATAGAATAATGCATTTGTTAAATTTTCTAGGTAATTTCAATTACTTATTAATTACATGAAAACTATGTATCCAATTTAAAATTATGAAGTAAAATGCATTTACTTTCCCTTCAATTCCTTCAGATCAAATTTACCACAAATAATTGACATAAAAATTTAGTTTTTTTTTTTTTGTTTTTTTTGGGTGTTATACTACCCCTTAATCTTAAAGGGAAAATTCTATAAGATGATGGTGAGGCCTGTAATGCTTTATGGTGCAGAATGTTGTCCATTAAAAGAGAATGATAATATTAAGCTAAGTGTTGTAGAGATGAGAATGCTCAGATGGACGAGTGAATTTACTCTTAGAGAAAAGACACGAAAAGAGCATATACGTGAAAATGTTCGAGTAGCTTCAGGGGAAGATAATATTAGAGAGAGTCGCCTTAGATGGTTTGGTCACATAAAACGGTGGCCTTTCGATGACCCAGTTAGGAGATTAGATGTATTAAATTTGGCTTATGTTAAGAAAGGTAGAGGTAGACCTAAAAAGACTTGATTAGAAAATATTAGAAATGATTTTTTTCTATTAGATTTAAATGAGAATTTAACTCTTAACAAGACAATGGAGAAAAAGAATTAATGTAGCTGACCCTGTGTAGTGGGATAAATGCTTGATGTTGTTGTTGTTTTTGGTGTTATACTGATATCTTCATTTAATGTTTGTGAATGCAATGGAGAATTATTTAGGATAATGCTGTAGTTATTAAAGACCAATTATTTACCAGAATATTAGTACACTGAAGGTGAATCTGTGTTAGTTAGAACATATGACAGAATATAATGACATGCTTTCGATTTAATGTTGATGGGAACACCAAGCTGTTATCTCTCAGGTTCATACCTTATCGTTTGAGCTGTTTTATTCCATAGTCACATGCATGGTATTGCCCTGAAATCATTTATTCATATTGGTTGATAAACTATCATGAGGATATTATTAGTAGAATTCAAGTTGGATGGTTGAAGTGGAGGAATGCATCAGGCTTGTTGTGTGATAAAAAAGCCCCCCCCTCAAATTTAAGGAAAAATTCTATAAGATGGTGGTGAGACATGCAATGCTTTATGTTTCAGAACGTTGGCCATTAAAAGAGAAGCATAATATTAAGTTAAGTGTTGTAGAGATGAGGATGCACAGGTGGATGAGTGACTTTACTCTTAGAGACAGGATACGAAATGATCATATATGTGAAAAAGGTTGGAGTAGCTCCAGTGGAAGATAAGATTAGAGAGTCGCTTTAGATTGTTTGGGCACATAAAACGGCGGCCTTCCGATGACCCGGTTGAGAAAGTAGATGTATTAGATTCGACTTATGTCAAGAGAGGTAGAGGTAGACCTAAAAAGATTTGGTTAGAAAGTTTTAGAAATGACCTTATCTTTATTATATTTAAATGAGAATTTGATTCTTAATAGGACACAATTGAGAAAAATGATTAATTTAGCTGACCCCGTATAGTGGGATAAAGGCTTGATGTTGTTGTTATTATTGTTGGTTGATAAATAAGTTAATTTTGTTAACAAAATAATACTGCATTGATATTTGTGGGGTTACATTTATGCCACTTTGGTGAACAAATGAAAATATAAATGACAATTATTATATTCATACTAATCATATCATGCAATGGTGTGGGCTCTGAAAATTTACTCCCCAACCTCTCCACATTCAAGAGATTGCAAATAGATGTTCGGGGTAAAATTTTTAGAAAGCTGATTAAATTTGAGATAGGTTAAGTTCAGGTTGACCTGCGAACCTACTTTTGACTAAAAATGACCAGTTCAATATCTTTTTACTTGGGGTATAATTTTTTTTATTTTTTTATAAAATATCTTAAACTTTATGGTTAATAAGTTATATTTTTTTTTTTAATCAAAACGAGTTAACAGGTTGAGTTTTAGTTGCTAGTGGATCATGCTTGGGTTGGTATTTTTTACTCACTAATTAAACTGGTTGATTCAGGTTGACTGAATTTGGGTCGAGTCAATTTCAGATACCCAAACATGACCTGCCAACCTGTTTTGACACCCCTCTTTAAATCTTGAAGGTTTTTTTTTCCTCATTTTTTGAACTTATGCTTTTTAATTTTAATTTAATTCATTTTTTAGGTTTAAATTCTTGTTTAAGATCCCCCTAGATTGTTCTATTCAGGTTTATTTTGTTAGAATTTTGGTAGCATTCCAGTGTCTCACTCTCATAGGTGGCGGCATTCGGAGCATTAAGTTTGCTCACCACACTAAAAAAGGCATGCATGGTCGGTGTCATAAGATCATTGTAATTAGGGATTTGTATCTTATCATGCCAAGAAAAAACATACATGGTTTTGATATGTACAGTGTCTTACCTGTTGCGTCAAGAAAGATGCACACATGTACTTAAAATTTTTCCGCCATACTTATGTACCAATTGGAATTTTGGAGATTCTGTTCGTGAGTTTGTCTTTGTACATGAGGTGAGCAACGATACAATGACGGCAAAGAACTTGCAAGGTAATGAAACACGCTTTTTTTTCAGCTTTATGATTTTGTGATTATATATATATATATATATATATATATAATGGTGAGATCTCTTTGTTTAGAGAGAAAGCGCTGGTTTTGGAGATACAATAATTAGAGAGATTGAGAGAGGGAGTTAGAGAAAGAGTGGAGAGAGTGATTGAAATGGACTTAAAACGGGCTGTTGGAGGCTTGAGGTGGCTAAGCCGGCTAGTGGGCTCAGGTGGTCTAGGAAATAGGAGGTCAAAGAGGTGGCGGGCTTTGTGCGGTTGTGTGGTGGAGAGGATTGAAGCTCGCAGTCCGTTGAAGGCCGGAGGAGAGGCAGAGCTGACGGACTTAATTGATGGTTTGGCTGTTGCTTGAAGGATAGAGCTTGAAGGTAGCTAACGGAGGTAACTAAGGCGGTAGTCTGGTTCAAGTAATGAAGAGGCGAAGTAGCTGGAGCTATTATTCTATATGGACACCGGACAGGAGAACCGTCCGGTTAAGCACAGGGTACCCAGCAATAGGGGGACGAGACGCATTTTTATTGGTCTTCGAACGCCCTCCACACTCCGCACTCTGCACAGAATAATAAATCAAGTAGCTGAGGGGCAGACTGAGATGTTATCAGAAATCATTGAAATCATTTGCCATATTCATTATGTAAGTACAAGATTGACCAGTGTCCTGAACCCACCAAAAAGTACCAATACCTGAAGCCATGTAAGCAGGAGTTTTTTCCTTGATTGATTAAGCTTATATAAAGCCTTATGTGCTTTTGTGTATTATATAGCGCCATTTTCCATTGCTTTAAGATCTAGCTTTACCTCTTTCAACTATTTTTCAACTCCATAGCTTATAGAACGATACCTAAATGTATATGATTGCATTTTAATTACAGAACCTTTTCGTTTGTCTGCAGACATCTCTTCATGGAAGTTGTCCAGTGATCAAAGGAGAGAAATGGGTTGCCACAAAATGGCTCAGAGATACTAATAACAAGAATATAATCTAACAATTACAATATTTTCTTGGCTTTGAATTATCCTTATTAATTTTTTTTAAATGTGAAATTTTTATTGTCTTTGTGACTTCAAGCATCGTCACTGGGCCCTGTAAAATATTAAAAAACTAAAGAAGAAACTATCCAAGTTCTGAGAGATGCAGAGCGATTTACTATCCAAACTTCAAATCAAGATTTTTTTGGACATTTGAGTCATTGCGATAAATTCATACACAGATCATATAGATATGTTTCGAACTCAAGATTTTTTTATTGATAGTCAAAGCTCCTGACTTAAGATAAGCTGTGATATTTCTACTTTTATTAGTTGATAAAATGTTGGATTATAATGACAAGATCAAAATTGATAGTACTTTGATATGAATATATGAATTCTTAATCTATTATAATATGAATAATATTCGTTGGTATAGTAACTAGTTTAACGGTATACTAGTATTTATTTGTAAGTCATTAGAATTAATTTAATGTTTTTAATAATATTTTAGTATACTATTTAATCACTATTTTCTAATTTACTGGACTGCGACTGCGATGTTACTTATTATATTAATTCCTTCTTTAATGTTAATTGCATTTAAGTTTCCATAATAATAACAAAGTTGAGTGATTGCGAATATTATTAAGTATTTCAAAATTTATTGGGAGATAATCTTTTAATTTCAAATACAAAAACTTATTAATGGTGATTAAATCAAGTTAGGGTATAATTGGATTTAACGAAAAAAGAAAATCCTCCAATTATTTTCAAGTGATATACAAGCTTATTCATATATCATATTTCTCCCATTTAATTCACCGACTATGTAAAATTATGAATATTTTAAAATTAAATTCATTGTATACACTATCAATATAAGCGAGTTCAGAATTTAATAGATAAAAGGTGACCTAAGTTTAACCCGTTATTAATGATATAAAGTTCTTATCGAAGAAGCTTCTTCCTGAACGTATTTTTGAGAAACAATATTTTTTTTTAGGAACTTTAGAACAAATTAAATTTAAATTCACAATATGCAAACTTCAAACTCAAAACCTCTTGATTAGTAGCATAAGCTCCCAACCCACAATGTAGATGAGTTGCATGACATATGCTATTAGATTAAGGTTTCGTTTGTGACGGCTTTTTTATGGCTTCTTGAAGCAGCTTTTTAATATAAAAATTGAAATTTTTGTACTAGAAAGCTGCTTCAAGAAGCAGTAAAAAAGCAGTCCGGCTTCTTTTGGGAAACAATAAAAAAATCATCCTAAATGAAACCTAAACCTTAGATTTTCCAGGCAAGTGTTCGTTGTCACTCGTACGACTGTTAAAGGCACTTGCTATATTTTTATTGCTGAAAGACAATTCAATTTACAAACGAATCAATAAAAAAATTTATATACATATCAAATCAAATAATAATCATAATAAATGCTTGATGGTTCCTCAACCAAATGTCGAAATTCTTTACAAATTTCATCAAGAAAGTTGAAATATTTACCCCGAAGTTAACCAATCAAAGTTGAAATTGTGTACCTGCTAAATGAGAAGCTCATTAACAGCAGATCATCCTGCACCATAACTGCTAGACCTTCTTTCATAGAGACGATACAGGAGAGTTGATCTCGACATCATAGGTTCCCTCTCAAGAGCAGCAATGGCATCCTTAATACAAATTGTACGATCAGTTTTAGGATTAGACAAGTTTCCTATGCTTCGGCCATGTCTGCTCATGCCACCTTGTAAATAAAAAAAACGATACACTTTCAGCTTCTATAGTCTACTTTGATCTCTTCTTTTCTCTTTGATAGAAAGAAATGAATATTACTTACCATCTTCCTCTAGATTTCTCAGATTTTCTCTGAAGTTGGGCAGGGAGTGGTTCTCATCTATACTACTACTACCTTGTTGGTTACAGGAAGATACACCCGGAGTGCTTTCAGGCTTCTGACGAGCTTGCTCGGCCATCAGCTGCCACTTAGAAAGCATATCATCTGCACCAATGGCAGCTCGAGCAGCCGCATTTGTGGCTGTAGTTCGCATCTTATCGTCTTCCTCCCGATGGAACTGATGTTATGTTTGGTTGATAGAAAAGATGATAACTATAAAAAGTACTTACGTAAAGTGATTAAGGCTTCATTTGGACGGCTTTCTTACTGCTACTTAAAGCAGCTTTTTTGTACAAAAAATTAAAATTTTGAAGCAGTAAGAAAGTCGTCCCAAACGAAACATAGGATGTTACCTTATGTTTCTTAGAAGGTCTGTTATCTTTGTCCTTTTCTACATCTTTCTCAGCATCAGCTAAAGCCTACATTCATAAAATTATTGTGTGGAATGATTGGGATTTGGGAAGGAAAAAAAGATTAAGGCTTCGTTTGGGACGGCTTTCTTACTGCTTCTTAAAGTAGCTTTTTAGTATAAAAATTTAAAAATTTGAAGCAGTAAGAAAGCCGCCCCAAACGAAACATAGGATGTTACCTTATGTTTCTTAGGTCTGTTATCTTTGTCCTTTTCTGCATCTTTCTCAGCATCAGCTAAAGCCTACATTCATAAAATTATTGTGTGGAATGATTGGGATTTGGGAAGGAAAAAAAATAAAAAACGTAGATTAGAGGAGCATGGATAGCATCTTGTGAGAAAATTTGCACAAGAAATATACATCTCAAAATATTAAATTGATGAATTGACAATAAAATTACTTATCATATAATTAAATAAATAATTAAAGCAAACAAAACATAAATATTCGGAGTACATGAGTAGTTGAGGTAGGCAATCATCCTATAGTTGAAATATTTGGAGTTGATGAGAGGCTGGCATGGTTCCCACTTATTACAGAATTCTACACTTCCCCTTAAGCTATAGAAATATATGTTGATCATCATACATAAAAAAATTGAGGTATCGAATTGTGATTGATCAGAGGCTTTGTTCAAAATATCTACTAAAGTTTTGTTGGAGTGTATTGAATTTGAATGACCCCTTCAATCAAATGCATATTTTTATGTAGATAGATTTGCCTTTTTTATCTTATGATTTTCATACATGAAAATATTTTAGGGCTCCCGTATCTTTAATTTTAAATTATTTGTTAAAATCTGTTTTAGCCTCTTGATTTCTGTTAACCTCTTGTTGACCTTCGTATAATACCCGAAGGAAGACAAAAATAACGACAAAAAATACCTCGTATCCCGTCGAATCCCGCTGAATCGGCGCCGCGAACGATCACTTCTCCGCACTTCCTCCGTGAAATCGGCTCTCGATCGCTGCCCCATTCGCGTCGTTAAATACCGACCCAAACGAAGCCTTTCGCTGCTTCTCCCTTCGGCTCCACACTTCCATTCCACGATCCTTCCTCTCCGATCGCTGAATCTCCTTTCCCATTCACGATCTCCCTCACGACCCCTTGCTTCTTTCGATCCAGTAAACAGAGAGAGAGAGAGAGGGAGAGCGAAAGAGAGAGAGTAAACACTTACCCTACCTCCAAGCTCCGGCCGAACCTCCATATTCTCCGATCTCCACCTTTGCCCGTGCCGACCCCAAGCCGAGAGAAAGAGAGAGAGAGAGAGAAGGGAAGCTCTACCCGAGCCGACCTCCATTGCATACGCCCCGTTGATCTCCTCCTCTGCTCTCCCCGATCAACCTCATGGCCTCCTGCTCCTACCCGTGGGCAAATTATTGCATCAGGTCACTTATAATTAAATATGATTAATTGTAATTATAATTAATTATTTTTAAAATTATAATTAATTATCATTAATTTTAATTAATTATAATGAATTCTTTTTAAAATAAATGGTTCTTTTGTCGATGCTTGCGACGGGCCGGCAAACCCCCTAGGCGCTCATGTAGCATTGTAGGGCGGGAAACCGGTGCGATGTTTGCGACGACTTAAGGATCCATCTTCAATGCTTGCAACGAGCCGGCAAACCCCCGAGGCGCTCAAGTAGCGTTGTAGGGCGGGAAACCGGTGCGACGCTTGCGGCAAAGGGGATAAATTTTATTTATTTATTTATTGTATTACTTTTTTTTATATCAGTACCCCCGAACGCCCATGTGGTGAAGAGGGGGGAAATCTTGCTTATTTCTAACACATGTTTTCTTCTTATAATAAACAAACCTAAAAAAAAAAAACCCTTAAACGCTCACGTAGCGGGCGGGGATAAAAAAAAAAATACAAATGCGATCGCGGTGTCATTTTTGACACCTACCTGAAGCGCTCATGTAGCGTCGAGGGGAAGGTTGCCTCTTGATTTTTCCCCTAAACGGGGGAGACGCCGGGAGGCTGTCGAAATTTGGATTGAAAATCCAAGGACTTAAAAAAAAAAGAACTTGCAAATGGATTTGATTGAACTCAAAAGAACGAATGCTAAGAACTTGTACTCGAGATTGTAGTTTGGGACAACTACAAGGATCAGTTGGGCACATTTGAACAATAGAGGACTTTGGCATCAGACTTGAACCTGAATATGCAATGAATTTATTAAATCAAAACTTGAACCAAATAAACTCAAACTCAAGCAAGAACTTGTGTAAGACTTGATTTGAACTCAAGCAAAACTCAACTTGAACTTGCATGGACTAGAGGGATCTTGTGCAAATGAACTTATTTTGAACACCAATTTGAACATCAAAGGAGCAAGATTTGGACTCAAATTTGAACTTGATTCCTACATCAAGTAGACATAACTTGAACTTGTACAAATTTGCAAAGGACATAAACTTGGTGATAAGGACTTGTGGATCCAAGTTCAAACTTCAACTCAATGGGTGTATAATCATCTCAAAGATCACAAGTATCAATCATTAAAATTAATGATATAAGCTCTCAATGGATATAACTTTCTTATGATCAAATGGAAGATGCATGTGACCTCTTCATACATGTTGCAAACAATGTGTGGAGACAAGAAAGTTCACAACTATAACATGCCTACAAGCAATGAACAATCATAAGGATGTGTGATCTAGTCACAAATGGAGGCACAAGAACATTCCATTTAGCTCATATGCAAGGTGACTTACATATAAGGGATGATGAAACTAAAGTATTTGAATGATTCATATTTGCAAACAAATGATAAGTGAATAATGCAATGACATGCCTACAACCAATAGCATGAGATTTCCCACATAAGTGTTGAAAGCCTTCATGCTAGATGAGGAAGGAATATCAAACAAATGGTGAATGTCGAATTCATTAGGTATATTGTGAATCGCCTTCGAAAACAAAGAAACTTGCATATTCAATTTGTTTGCAAGTGATAAGAAGATGGTGGGAAGTACAACAACAATCGTGCTTGAGGAAGGGAAAGGGATGGTTGTAATGAACATCCTAACATATTCATGAAGAAAATATAAAAACCATGCGATGAATGTATAATAGATGCGATGAGTTCTCTACAAACGTTGATAGAAGAACCGTAACACATTCAACTTATCGCCCACGAATAACGAAACTTCCTTGCAAATAATGAAATATCTTATTAATACACTCAATGTATATCTTCATGATCGACAACTATTTGGTGGAGGGCAAATATGCAAATCCCTACGGGCCACCGTAGGAGATTTGTTACACATCCAAAGTATTGTCCATAAGAAAATGCAGAATAACTACGACAAATTCAAGTTCCTGTGGATTGTTGTAGGAAATTCTTTGTATGTATACTACACTATCTACAAGTAGATACGAAAGATTTGCAACAAATGATGATATGCATAAGTACCTGCAGAAAGTTCATGCTATTCATATGAAAGATGCAGAAAAGCTACAACAAATATGAGCTTTCACGAAATACTATGAAAGACTCATCGAAAACCAAGATATTCCCCGCACATGCACCTTAATTTGTATGCACATAGGTACACATAAGGGGATATATAAAGCCCGCATGGGCCCCGACGAGCGTGTTATTGGTACACACGTGACGTCTAGAGATGCTGCGCGGGTCAACAAGGGAATTCAAATTCGAACCCGATCCTTCTATACAGATCAATAGGAGTAGACAGGGTTTGAACTATTAAGCAAATATGTGGCCGTGACGACCAGAATATTTGTTTTAATACATTCATATTTGGTCTTCAAAGCCTAAGATCAAAAGAATTCACTCTCAAAGGCATAAAGCCTACGAAACCCGATCCTCTGTCGACAGCCAGACAGAGTCGACAATGTTCAAGATTTAAATGGAAATAATCCCAAACACCCCGATGATGGCCGTGTTGAATGTTTATCTCAACCGGAGGGGTTCACAAACATTTCCAAATGTCCTTCAAACATCCAAATGCCCATCAAAATCCAAAACTACACAAAGTTCAAAAACCCAAAAAGTCTCAAAATCCCAAAAATTCCAAAAATATTTAAAATTTGAAATCTAACTATCAAACGCTTAAAGCAAAATCCATCCACCCTCCACAAAAGTTTGTCAGGATGGACAAGTTAAAAATTACTTAAGCTCACAAAGAGCCAAATGCCTAATCGAAAATATCACTAGGATCCATTCTCAAAAACGTCTCCTGCCGATAAGGACGTGGTACGTGTCCTCTGACCGGCGGTTTGCCGCCAAATGGCACCGCAGGATAAACGGTTATGACCCGGGGCCCTCTGAACCGAGTGGTATTGCCGCCAAATGGCACCACGAAATACCGGTTATGGCCAGCGCCGATACGTTCCTTATTGACATCAAATCCTTGAGATATGAATCAATAAGAAATGATCGATAGGGCACAAAGCCCTCTGTTAGCTAAGGTGGATTCAAATTTATCCCCTTAGACAAACATTCACCCCCGGTCTACAAGGTCCCCTTGGTCGAAGCAACCCATGGCTGCCGATAAGGATCCTTCTATCAGGTTGGGTCGACTACCTCCTCTGACTAAGTAGACCAGGGACCACGATTGTAATATCAAAAATCTGCTCCAGGATCGTCCAAGACGATCTGGGATCATCCTGGGACGATCAGTTGAGAATCTGTTCCAGAATTTGCCCAGATTTGCTTCAGGTGTTTTTTTGTAAGCATTGTCCAGGCCGATCGAGGCTTCGGCCAGGTCGATTGGCACTGTTCAAAATATCGGCCTGAAACTAGTTCTGGGAACCGTCCAGGACGATCCAATTTGGTATGATCGTCCTGGGACGATCTGGCGATCGGCCGGGCCGATCTATGTATTATAAAGCTGAAATCAGCTCATTTTGAAGAGAGAGAAAATTTATAAATATCTGATTTTTCTTTGAGGAGAGAGAAAGCTGCGGATTTTTGGGGAAAAGTGGATTTTCGGACGACGCGGAGCCGTTTTCGTCCGAAGAGACTGTTCGAGATATTGCTGTACGCAAGGTAAGGCACATTCCGCCTTTCTCAATTTTCAGAACCGTCGTGTTTGGCGGTATTTTCTGTCCGGATTTTGTTTCCGTTAGCGATTTTCGTCCGTATCTTTTGATTGGTTCAATTTTTACCGCGTAACTTTTTGTATATTGTTGCCGTGCCGGGTGTGCACGTTTTGACTATATTTTGAAGATTTTTGTCCGGGTATTTTTGATTCGACGGAGT